CAGCTCTCTGCTGTGGCCCGGGAAGGCAGTGGAGGATGGCCCAAGTGCTTGGGCCCTGCACCCCATGGGAGACCAGGAGAAGCACCTGGTTCCTGCCATCGGATCAGCGTGGTGCGCCGGCCGCGGTGGCCATTGGAGGGTGAACCAACGGCAAAGGAAGACCTTTCTCTCTGTCTCTCTGACTGTCCACTCTGCCTGTCAAAAAAAAATTAATTTTATTACGATTTATTTATTATTTATTTGAAAGGCAGAGCTAGAGAGAGAGAGAGAAAGAGAGAGAGAGAGAGAGAGAGAGAGAGAGAGAGAGTTCTTCCCAAATGGCCACAATGGCCAGGGCTGGACCAGGCTGCAACCAGAAGCCAGGAGCTTCATCCGGGTCTCCCACGTGAGTGCGGGGGCCCAAGCACTTGGTCTGTCTTCCACTGCTTTCCTAGGCCATAAGCAGGGATCTGGATCAGAAGTGGAGCAGCCGGGACGTGAACCAGCTCCCATAAGAGATTCCAGTACTGTGGGCAGGAGCTTTCCCCCTCTATGCCACAACATTGGCCCTGGTTTAATTTGTTTTAATGAAAAATTTGCTTTTGAATTTGAGATATGTACTTTGGACATGTTACAAGGAAGTTTTGGGGAAAATGTGTGTGTGCGTGTCTGGGAATGGACCACAGTTTACAAAGCTTGGAGTTTCCTACAGAAATTGAGTTTCAGGACAGTTCTAGAAAGTGTTATGTTTTATTAAAGGTTGGAAAAATGTTTCTGTGCTATTCATTTAAAATGTGGAGTCCAGGCTGGCAAGCAGACATTTGTCATATTAAACATTTGTTCTATTTAAGATGTAACAGTAACCCCCCATGGCCACGGACGGCCCAGATGGACGGTGACACGTTTGAGTCTGTGAGTGTGTGTGCCTTAGGGACACGGGTCCCAACAGCTGCGAGGAGCCGAGCCGAGCCGTGGCTGCAGGGGACGGCTCCTCCAGCCCGACTCATGCTGCTGCGGGGCGTGAACAGAGGCCCCGGGCACTCCTCTGCGGTGGCCCTGGGCCTTGGCGGCTCACGGTCCACCCTCGAGGTGACCCCTCCAGGCGGACCACGCTGACCCAGCTCAGGAGAGCCCAGCCCTGCGAGCTCTCCAGGCACACGCACTGATCCTCCAGGGTTAGCGCTGCAGACGGCTTTGGGGCAGAAGCCACTTCTACCCAGGCTCCGCGTTCTTCGAGGCCACGCTCTGTTGCTGCCTGGACTCCGAGCCCTGCCCTGCACAGTCTCCTACCTCTGCCCCTCAGAGACGCCTAGCTCTGGGCACACACCCCTGGCGGGACCTGGACGTGTCTTGCGGCCAGCTATTTTGTGCTCACTTGTATTGCCAGAAGCCCTTGTGCGTCCCCCAGGTGTTAGCACTGAGCTGTGGGCACAGCAGACAGATGCCCCGCGCTGGGCGTGAGAGGAGCACACACAGGAGTGACCCGGGGACTAGGCAGCGCTTTGGGGCGGCGCTCACAACTGGTATTTACCACAGTCACATTATAGTTTCGTTTTTGTAGTGCAGTCTCAAAGCCCTAAAAGATGCTGCCCAGTTCGTGGGAGAGTTCAACCGCTTTTTCGTTGGCTTCACGGCGCCTGTTATCTGTCAGGCGCCCGCCAGATGTCAGGACTCTCACAGAAAGGAAAACTGACAGGTAGCGCTGCCCTGACACACCGAAATTCACGGGCACGTGCAGTGTGTTCTGAGGATTCCGAGAAAAATCAAGCGAGGTAAGGAGAGAGGGAGTGGAGAGAGAGTGGAGCGGAGTTGGGGCTCTTGTAGTGGGGCCCTCCTCCCTCCCTCCCTCCCTCCCCCCCTTCCTTTTTAAAGATGTATTCGAAAGGCAGAGTTGCAGGGAGAGAAAGACACACAGAGCGAGGTCTTCCATCCGCTGGTTCACTCCATGAATGGCCGCAACGGTCTGAGCTGGGCCGGGCGTGGAAGTCAGGAGCTTCATTTGGGTCTCCAACGACGGTGCCAGGGGCCTTCTTCTGTTCCTTCTCCCTTAGCAGGGGCCTTAGCACGGAACTGGACGGAAAGTGGAGACCGGGAAGAAGCTCCTGGCTCCTGGCTCCTGGCTTCAGATCAGCGCAGCTCCGGCTGTTGCAGGTATTTGGGAGGGAACCAGCGGATGGAAGAAACCTCTCTCTCTCTCTCTCTCTCTCTCTCTGCCTCTGCCTCTCTGTAACTCTGCCTTTCAAATAAAGAAATAATTTTTTTCAAGATTTATTTTATTTATTTGAAAGAGTTACAGAAAGAGGCAGAGACAGGGAGAGAGGTCTTCCATCCGCTGGTTCACTCCCCAGATGGCCGCATCGGCTGGAGCTGCTACGATCCGAAGCCAGGAGCCAAAAGCTTCTTCTGGGTCTCCCACATGGGTGCAGGGGCCCAAGCACTTGGGCCATCTTCCAGTGTTTTCCCAGGCCACAGCAGAGAGCTGGATCAGAGGAGGAGCAGTCAGGACTCGAACCGGCACCCATATGGGATGCCAGCGCTGCAGGTGGCAGCTTTAACCCGCTGTGCCACAGAACTGGCCCCTCAAATAAATAAATCTTAGAAAAGAAAGAAAGTTAGTCAAAAAACTAATGGAACTCCCGTTTAAAAAAAAAAAAAAGAAAGAAAAAGAAAGTGGAGCGGCTGGCACCGTGGCTCACTAGGCTAATCCTCTGCCTGCGGTGCCAGCACCCCGGGTTCTAGTCCCGATCGAGGCGCTGGATTCTGTCCCAGTTGCTCCTCTTCCAGTCCAGCTCTCTGCTGTGGCCCAGGAAGGCAGTGGAGAATGGCCCAAGTGCTTGGGCCCTGCACCCCATGGGAGACCAAGAGGAAGCACCTGGCTCCTGGCTTCGGATCAGCGTGGTGCACCGGCGGCAGCAGCCATTGGAGGGTGAACCAACGGCAAAGGAAGACCTTTCTCTCTGTCTCTCTCTCTCACTGTCCACTCTGCCTGTCAAAAAAATAAATAAATAAGGCTGGCGCCACGGCTCAATAGGCTGGTCCTCCGCCTTGTGGCGCCGGCACACCGGGTTCTAGTCCCGGTCGAGGCGCTGGATTCTGTCCCGGTTGCCCCTCTTCCAGGCCAGCTCTCTGCTGTGGCCAGGGAGTGCAGTGGAGGATGGCCCAAGTCCTTGGGCCCTGCACCCCATGGGAGACCAGGAGAAGCACCTGGCTCCTGCCATCGGATCAGCGCGGTGTGCCAGCCGCAGCGGCCATTGGAGGGTGAACCAATGGCAAAGGAAGACCTTTCTCTCTGTCTCTCTCTCTCACTGTCCACTCTGCCTATCAATAAATAAATAAATAAATAAGAAAGTGTGGTAGCCTGGACTTGCACCAGTGCTCATGTGGGATGCTGACATCACAGGCCGCGGCTTAACCTGTTGCGCTACCACACCACCCACCAGGCAACACCACCACAAGGCGGGGCTTTTCTTCTTTTCTTTTCTTTTCCTTTCTTTTCTTTTCTTTTCTTTTCTTTTTGAGTTGGACAGTGAGAGAGACACAAAAAGAAAGGTCTTCCTTTTTCCCTTGGTTCACCCCCCAAGTGGCCGCTACTGCCGGCATGCTGCACTGATCCGAAGTCAAGAGCCAGGTGCTTCCTCTGGTCCCCCATGCGAGTGCAGGGCCCAAGGACCTGGGCCATCCCCCACTGCCTTCCTGGGCCACAGCAGAGAGCTGGACTGGAAGAGGAGCAACCGGGACAGAACCAGTGCCCTGACCGGGACTAGAACCTGGTGTGCCGGCACCGCAGGCGGAGGATTAGCCTAGTGAGCCACGGCGCCGGCCCTCTTTTCTTTTTTAAAAGAATTATTTCATTTTTTATTTGAAAGACAGAGTTACAGAGAGAGATAGAGCCAGAGAGAGAGAGAGAGAGAGAGAGAGGTCTTCCATTCCGCTGGTTCACTCCCCAAATGACCACAACGGCCAGAGCTGGACTGATCTGAAGCCAGGAGCCAGGAGCTTCTTCCGGGTCTCCCACGTGGGTGCAGGGGCCCAAGGACTTGGGCGATCTTCTACTGCTCTCTCAGGCCATAGCAGAGAGCTGGATTGGAAGTGGAGCAGCCAGGACTTGAACTGGCGCCCATTGGGAAGCTGGCACTGCAAGCTGGGGTTTTAACCTGCTGTGCTATAGCACCGGCCCCCTTTCTTTCTTTTTTTTTTTTTTAAGATTTATTTATTTATTTGGAAGATAGAGTTACAGAAAAGTAGAGACAGAGAAAGAGAGAGGTCTGCCATCCGTTTGTTCACTCCCCAAATGGCTGCAATGGCCGGAGCTGTGCTTATCCCAAGCCAGGAGCCAGGGGCTTCTTCCAGGTCTCCCACACAGGTGCAGGGACCCAAGGACTTGGACCATCTTCCACTACTTTCCCGGGCCATAGCAGAGCTGGATCAGAAGTGGAGCAGCCGGGACTTGAACCACGCCAACATGGGATGCCAGCACTGCAGACGGCGGCTTTACCCACTGCACCACTGCACCGGCCCAAGCGGTGCCTTTCTGATAGGGCGGCTGGGAGGCAGAGCCCGGAGGGGCTGAGAGGGGCTGGTGGCTGTTCCCGGAAGTCGTCCAGGGCGGCGCCTCCAGTGGGGCGTGTGCCTGGCCGGTGTGAGGAGCAGAAGTCGTGCAGTGACCCGCGGTCCCGTTTGCCTTGTCTGCAAGTCCAAAGGCTTGTGGGAGGCTTGTGAAAACATCTGTGTGAACCTTCACGCACTAGAAGTCACCCTCTTTAGGGTGACGTCACTGGGTATTCGTAGTGTCCGAATCAGCGGGGATCACAGTCACTACATCACAGTTCTGCCCTTTTACTGTCGGGGTGAAATTCACATGCCGTATGATCGCCATCTCAGAGTAGCAACTGCCACTTCTCCGGCTTCAAAGCTCCTCCATCACCCTGCCCTTTCGTTTCTAGACTGCTCTGTTAGCCCTGCTGGAGCAGACTTCCCCATATCTAATTTTGTGCTTTCTGTTTCTGGATGGCCTCTGCCAGCTCCAGTGAGTCATCGGAGTGCTTACGCAGCAGCTACTTCCGAGCTCCTGCCGGGAGCAGGTGCCACCCCAGACGGCTGTGGCAATGACAGGTCGGTCCCCGCATCCGCGGACTCGTCGGCTGGGTAATTGCCGGGAGGTTAGTCTAAATGACGGGGCAGCAGGTTAGCGCGGCACTGAGACGCTGCTTGGGACGCCCACAGCCTGCGTGGTTAGGCCTGCGCTCAAGCCCAGCTGTGCCCGATTCCAGCTCCCTGCCGGTGTGGAGCTCGAGGCCGCAGGTGACGGCCCAGGGAGCGGGGCCCTGCCCCCACGTGGAGACCCGCACTGAGCCCCCGCTCGCGGCTGCAGCCTGGCCCGGCCCCGCTGTTGGGGTACTGGGCAGTGAACCAGCCGTCGATGGGAGACCGCTCTCTTCCTTTCAGATTAATGATGTGTACGCGTAAGAAACATCGCTTTGGAAGCCACGTTCAGGACGTTTGTGACGTTTCGCTTTTCACATGTTCGTCCGGTTGCATTGGCGAAGTCATAAGGCCCCCGAGAGCGCGCTCAGAGGGGCACGGCTGGTGTGTTGATCGTTGTGCGCGCGGTGCGGGGACGCTGGAGGGAAAGCCCCTGGGGAGGTGAAGGGGCTTCTCTCGGGGCGGAACAGGGACCCGGCGGCACTGCATTCGTGCGCACGCAAGGACTGACCCTGTCACCGTCTCTTCCATTTCACAGACGCGGCGACTGAGGCTTGAAGGTCGCGCCTGGACCGCCCGGCCCGGGTCGGGCACGGCTGGGCAGCGTGCGGGCAGCAGAGGGCAGTCGCGCCCCGGCGGGAAGCACCTGCCGGCCAGCAAGCTAGGGCCGGCACCGCCCGCCCGCCTCCAGGAGGGGGCGCTGCGAAGCTGGCCGCGGGCCGCTCCCCCAGACTCGCCCTTACTCCAAGGCTCCCGGACTCCGGACTCCGGGCTGCAGCCCCCGGGGGCTTTTCCTGCCCTACTAACATGCGCTTCTGTTTTCCCAGATGATTGTTCCTTAATCACACTGGAATAACCAACTGGGGCGGCCCCCCAGGCCCCCCGCAGGCGCAGTGCCCGCGCGGCGGGGCGGCCGCGCGTCTCACGTGGGCGCAGCAGTGTCCCGGGCAGGCCGGCCTGGCAGCGGCCCCACCCCACCCACAGCTGGTTTCGCTTTCCCAACGTCGAGGCGCCGTGGCTGAACAGGTTTCAGCGTTGTACTGAGGTTTTTGATGTGGTCGTTTGGTCAGGGTTTCCTGCACCTGGTGCGCCTCTGCTCGCTCGGGAAGGTGCCCGGAGCTGTCCTCCCTGGCACGCGTCCAAAGTCCAGGCCCTAATGGCTTTTGACCGTGGTTTAATTTTAACCGTAAACCTTCTTTTGGAATTATTACTTTTTAATCCAGAAAGGGCCAGTTTGCTTGTCCACCTCGCGTGCAGAATAAGTAGGGAAGTTCCGTTCGTTTACTGCTGAGGCGTCTCAGGTGATGTGGGGTGGAAACAGGGCGGAGTCGTGGCCGGGCTGCTCTACAGCCCTGTTTGGACGTGCGCGGTGGTCGGTCAGTGACCTCCTGGGTGGCCCTGGTGGTCCCAGGAGAGCAGGCTGGAGTGTGGACTCCAGCCGGGAGGCCTCCAGCGGTGGCCTCTGTTTTCTGGGACATTCTCGAGTTCTGAGACGGAGAAAACATGCCGGCCCTTTGTGAGCGCACGAGTCAGACTGCCGACCGTTCTCCGTCCTGAGAGCTCACCCAAGAGGGCTGGCAGCAGCCCCAGGAAGACCTGGTCCACGTGTGGAGGCAGAGCTGGGGTCCCCGAGCCCCCGCGCGCAGGTCTGCACGCTTCCGGTTCCACTGCTGCCCTTGCAATGTGAGCACTCTGGTGACAGGTACCTGTTTTTGTGAAACCGTAATGAATTCTCAATGCATCAGGACACAAATGGTTGTCTACCTTTTTTTTTTTTTTTAAGATTTATTTTATTTATCGGAAAGAGTTACAGAGAGAGGTAGAGACAGAGAGAGAGATCTTCCATCTGCTGGTTCACTCCCCAAATGGCCACAATGGCCAGAACTGAGCTGATCTGAAGCCTAGAGCTTCCTCTGGGTCTCCTGTTTGGGTGCAGGGGCCTGAGGACTTGGGCCATCCTCTGCTGCTTTCCCAGGTGCACTGGCAGGGAGCTGGATCGGAAGTGGAGCAGCCGGGACTCGAACTGGTGCCCGTATGAGATGCTGGCACTGCCAGCCAGGGCTTTAACCTGCTACACCACAATGGCTGCCCCTGTCTACCTCTTTGTAGTGTAGGTAGTAGACTTTGGGAATAAAAAGAAAAAAAAATGAAAGATGAGAAGAAAGTGGGGGAAGGGATGGAGGCAAATTCTGGGGAAAGATGATCTCTGCCGGGGGGGGGGGGGCCCCTGCCGTTCTGCAGGAGTGGTCTCCCCGCCCGAGACCTCTGCGCGGGCCTGTTCACCACGGAGCCCTAGGGCACCTAAGGAGGCAGGACGAGCCGTGGAGGCGAGCGGAGGTCCGCTGCCGGCTGGTTGCAGTGTGGCCTTCAGACTGGCGCGGGCTCTGGCGAGGCAGCATCCCCACAGGCGTCTCAGAAACTGTGGACAAAGCCCCGGGCGGACGCTGCCAGCAGCCCGCAGGCGGTCACAGACTTGCTGTCCTGCGTGGGCCGTGGGCCGTGGGCCGGCGGCAGGGGGCGTTTCCTGTGTTAGTCTCACCCTGTCAGCAAGACACTGTTGACACTGTTTGTGTGCCGATTTCTTTGAAGCTGAATTGAATTCATGCTTAGACACAGCGTGGACAGAAAAAGCCAGAGCGGGAGAGCAAGCGGCGACTGCCAAGGTCAGCGTGCTTGGACCGTGAGCTGCAGAAGGTTCACCAGCACAAGTAGCCAGCTCCTGGGGAAGCGTGCGCGAGCCTCGGGCGGCAGCTCTGGTCAGCAGGCGTTTCCGGTAGCTAAGGAGCACAGGAACCGGGCGAACGCCGGCCGGCGTGCTTGGCCACAGTCATTATCGTTCCCCGGTGTGAGGCTCGGGATGCGAGTCAAGCTGTCTGCAGTTGGCTGGGTAGAGGAATAAACCGGGGGGCGGGCGTGGCGGAGCAGGCGCAGGGGAAGTGGTCGGGTGGCCTCTGGGAGGGAACCCAGGGCCCACGCAGCCCCGCTCGTGTGAGATGGAGTCACTCCAGATTTATAAGCTCATTAAAGTCCTGTTTGTGACTGTGTGCACGTCTCAGCCCCAGAGAAAATGCACAGAATGCCGCCAGCCACACCTCAGCCTTCCAAACCACTGAGCCGACAGCTTTCCTCCTCTAATTGCTCAAGTGCGCGTCTGTTATTTACGCAGTGCGTGCCTCGGTCCCCTTTCAGAGCAGGGGGTTCAAGGTCAGCCCACATCTGGAAACCATTCTGAGCTGTCAGACCACCAGGGACCGCCCCGGGGAGCCGTTGAGGACCAACCCGCCCCAGACAGAAAAGTCAAAGTCGCTCTCATTCGCTGTGGCCCCGAGGTCCGGCCCGCGTTCTGAGCTCTGTACCTTCCCCCGGTGTGAGGGGTGCGTGGAGGCTGGTTCGTGGCTGGTTTGTCGTGGTGAAACGAGAAGGCTCTGCCTTTTCCCTTCGCTCCAAGAGCGCAGTCTTAAGTACTTTGAGCTGCCCCAGGGAGGGTGCCCCCAAGTCTTCACCGCACTGGGGTCAGGCCAGATTCCCCCGCCAGGGTCTCCGTCTACTGCCCGGAGGTGGTGTCCCGAGAAAGACAGGGCGCCACGGGCGCTGTCCCACGTGGTGCTGTTGGTTGGAGCTGTCATTCCTGTGTTCCTGTGTGTGACAGCCGCGGCCTTATCTCCAGCAGCAGGGTGAACGGCAGGTCAGCCCCTCGGTCCCTCCTCACCCCCAGGCAGCCGTTCCGGGAGCTAATAATAGGTAGCGTGAAAACAGTTTCCTCTGATGCACTTTTACAAGGGCTTTTCAAAGCAGCAGGGGAATGGTTAACCTGCTCACCTGACGGGCGCAAGGTGCCACAGAAGCCCCACCTTTGGGCGGAGCCTGCTGGGGACCTCCGGGGATGCAGGCAAGCTCGGACCCTGTAACTGCCCATGGCCGTGCCTATCGGGCGGATGCCCTGGCCCCCGGCTGGCAGGGCCGAGGCTGGAGGATGCTGGTGGCTCGGGCCGGTGCCTGGCCCCCAGCACCGCCCCTTGCTTGGGCCCTGGCGCTTCACTAAGCTGTCAGCATTCTCCACCATGAGCCCCACTTCGTCACGAGTGACAGGGAGTTGATTTCTTAAACATATATTTTATAATTTTTATTTGAAGGGCAGAGAACAGACAGACAGATCCTTCGTATGCTGGTTTCCTCCCAAGTGCCAGTGACAGCCAGGGCTAGGCCAGGCTGAAAGCAGGCGCCTGGAACTCAGCCTGCGTCACCCACGTCTGTGGCGGGGACCCAAGTCCTTGAGCCACCGCCTGCTGCCTCCCAGGGTGCGCCGTTAGCAGGAAGCCAAAGCAGAAGTGGGGTAGCCAGCTCTGGAACCAGGTACCCCACAGGAGATGCAGGCCCTGCCCTACACTGTGCCACGTGCCGGCTCCAAGTCGAGTTTTTTGAGATTATCATGGCTGTGTCCCCCAGGTGGGTCTCTCACCCACGGGAATCTTCTAGCGGCGACGGTGGGGGGCGGGAGGGCTTGGAAAAGGAGACTCACGGAGCCCAGAGGGAGCTCACTCCATCGGGGTCTGGCAGTTGCTTAAGGAAAGGGCCCGGAGAGAGCGTGAAGGCAGGCAGAGGGCCCGGAGCCCGGGAGCAGGGCAGAGGGCCCGGAGAGAGCGTGAAGGCAGGCAGAGGGCCCGGAGCCCGGGAGCAGGGCAGAGGGCCCGGAGAGAGCGTGAAGGCAGGCAGAGGGCCCGGAGCCCGGGAGCAGGGCAGAGGGCCCGGAGAGAGCGTGAAGGCAGGCAGAGGGCCCGGAGCCCGGGAGCAGGGCAGAGGGCCCGGAGAGAGCGTGAAGGCAGGCAGAGGGCCCGGAGCCCGGGAGCAGGGCAGAGGGCCCGGAGAGAGCGTGAAGGCAGGCAGAGGGCCCGGAGCCCGGGAGCAGGGCAGAGGGCCCGGAGAGAGCGTGAAGGCAGGCAGAGGGCCCGGAGCCCGGGAGCAGGGCGGCTCAGCCTCACCCTGGGCTGTGGCGGCTGGAGGGGGACGGGACTCCCATCTGGTCCCCAGCAGAGGGAAAACTGCACGGTGGCACTGTGGCAGCCAAGGCCTGGGGAGGGAGGGCGGCAGGCTGACCCTGGGCCCTGGCTGTGCTTCTGCCGAGACGCCCTCGGCGTCAGGGGCCTCTGCTGCTGTGTGTGTGTGCTGGTTGCTTTTTTTTTTTTTTTCTTTTTAAAGATTTTATTTATATATTTGAGAGGTAGAGTTACAGACACAGAGGAGAGACTAAGGTCTTCCATCCGCTGGTTCACTCACAATGGCTGGAGCTGAGCTGATCCGGAGCCAGGACCTTCTTCTGGTCTCCCAGGCAGGTGCAGGGGCCCAAGGACTTGGCCATCCTCCACCGCTTTCCCAGGCCACAGCAGAGAGCTGGGTCAGAGCGGAGCAGCCGGGACTCCAACCAGTGCCCATATGGGATGCCGGTGCTGCAGGCGGCGGCTGTACCGGGAGGCCTAGCTTTAGTCCCAGTGTCAGCGAGAGGGGCTGGTGCCACCAGGGTGCTCCATGTCAGTGTCCGTGCCGCTCATATGGACAGCGACTGGCCCTCTGTGAGTTGAATGCTGACCAGAGGGTCTCAACAAATTTTGATTTTGATTTTGTTTAATTGATTTGGGAGGCAGAGAGACAGAGCGAACTCCCGTATGCTGGCTCACTCCTGATACCTGCAGTGGCCAGGGCTGGGGACAGCCCAGGGCCGGCAGCCAGGAACTCAGCTACTTGAACTACCGTGTGCTGCCTCCCAAGGTGTGCATCAGCAGAGCTGGAATCGGTGGGAGATGGAGTGGGCGCTCCAACGTGGGACATGGGGG